TTCGCCGATTTTTTTGGGGGTGTGGGTGGGTGTGTCTGACTGGGCGGACTAGCATATCATAGCTCCATAATACAGCACACTAGATAGGGCAAATACATGGCAAGGGAACAAGGGTGAGCAGGCCATGCTAGTGATCAAAGCATGGGAGGGAAGGGTGGGCAAGTTGGAACAGAAAAATGCAAGGTCTGAAAGACCTGCCGATAGATGAAGGAGTTTGTCTTCTTTACAGCAAACTCCTCTTCTAGTCGAATCACAATCTGTAAATTTTTTATTACAAAAAAATTTCTCATATTGTGACACGACCTCAGAGGAGTGTGCAGTGCAGTCGTCATAGGTCAAACGAGACATCAAGTGATAGGTCGTCGGCGGTGGCGCTCGAGGGTGGCCTGGTACCGATCGGTCGCGCTCGAGCGAGTAGGATCTTGTAGCGTGCGAGAAGCAGCCACTAGCTCGCGGTCAAGCTGAGTAATGTAAAGCTCCTTGGCTGTATCACTTCGCCAGCGGCCGAGGGCCTTGAAGAGCCGGTCGGGGACTCCAACATCAACGGCGACCGTCGCAGCCGCCTTGCGGAAAGAATGGGTGCCCAGGTGGGCCGGGTTAAGGCCTACACGGGAGAAAGCATCTCGACACCAACCCCGAATGGCGGCGTACGAGGGAGAGCGATCTGAGGGGGAAGCTCGGGCACCCGGCTGAAATATACGAATAAGGGGGCCAAGGGTCCGCGGAGAATAGCCAGCCAGGAAGAGGAATTGTTGGAAACGCGACACCGGACAGTGGCGGGCAGAAGAAGCAGCCACTGGGACCCAAACACCGGTGCCAGCTTGGTCGGTCTTCGAACGGGGGATGAACAACCACATGCAGTCCCGATCGAACTCGATCTGGTGCCACTGGAGGGAGACGAGATCAGAGAAACGAAGGAAGGCTGCGAACATGAGGAGGGGAATAAGGCCCCGCTGGAATGTGGCCGGATCATGCGATGAGAAGTAGATGTCACAGATATCGTAAATCTTGGCTGGAGGAATGGGCTCCTTAGCTTGAGATGGCTTGCCACAATGACGCATGGCATAATCCTTGACTTGTGAAGAAAAGGGGCCGCGAATCGGGGAGGGGTGGCCAACCAGCCAATGGGCGCAGGATATGGCGGAACACGCAGTGCGCACAGCTGAGACGGTAGCGCCGCGACGGACCGAGTGCAGCAGAAAGAGGGACGCTGTCAGGTCGGTGGCGGGAAGGAAAGGAAGTGAGTGCGCCAAACAGAAGGCTCGAAACTGTCGCCAATAGGGTTCGTAAGTGCGAATGGTAGACTTCGCCCGAAGATCAACGGTGAGTGTGAGAAGGTCCGACAATAATCGACCAATATATGAGCATGCGCAGTGAAATAAATTTATACATTAGTTGAATGCAAAACGAAGCGCATACATCGGAGAGTTCGGAAGACCAGCACCGCTAAAGGCATGACGGTCACTGCCAACGCGTAAACAGCTAGCACCAAGGGTAAGGCGAAGGGCCATAACGACCTCCGGGCCCCAAGTGGAGCCGTCCAAGCTTAGCAAAGGCCACCAAAAGGCACTGGGCCAATATGGGATCACGAGAGTGAGAGAAGTGCGCGAGCGACGGGCATGAGCTAGGACAGCCGGGATGAGGGTGGGTGGAGGAAAGGCGAAGCAATTCTCGTGGCCCCAGTTAATAGAAAAGGCGTCTTGCGCAACAGCAGAGTGTGAGAACTCGAGGGAGCAGAAACGAGCGAGCTGCGCATTGGCAGGGGATGCGAACAAGTCGATAGTATGAGGCCCCCAATGCCTCTCAAGCAGCCGGAACCAAGGTCGTGTCAAGGAGTAGTCGTCGTGGAGCTCAATCTTGGACAGAGCATCGGCCTCGGTATTCAGCGCACGGGGAATCCATTGGACCGTAAGACGGATCATATGGCGCACGCACAATTGAATAATCGCGCGGCATACGAAGGTAAGCTCGGGACGGCGAGAGCCTCCCTTCTGGAGGATGGAGTAGGCCGCCTGACTGTCGCTGCGGAGCAAGAGGTGCGAGCGTCGGATTTCGACAGAAAAGGCCGAAAGGGACCAAAAGATTCCGGCCAGCTCGCGAAGGGTACTGGACGAGCCCAAGAGGGCTAGAGGCAGCGGGGAGGAGAGCGAGCCGACACGACCATCCGGCGCTGAATAACAAGCCCCCCAGGCATGGTCGCTAGCATCCACGTACATGACCACGTCGTACAAATGCGGGTTGTGGAAGCGGGCGCCGTTGAAAACGTCGAACTGTGTAAGCCAAAAACGCAGTTCTTCAACAGACTCAGGGGTGAGGAGAATGGCCGCCCCCCATGAGTGGCATTCGGCGATCTGCGTGAGAAGGTGGTGGGAGAAAGCGCGCGCGACAGTGCCAAGTGCCAAGGACATGGAGGCCAACATGCCGGTGATGCGGGCAGCGCGGCGAACAGGGATGCGACGCCCGTTAGCGCCGAGTGTGCCTAAATCATCCAGCTCGGCAAAAAGCCGGTTGCGCCGATCCGCATCGACAGAGAAGGTGGTGGTGCGCGTGTCCAGCAAGAGGCCCAAGAACTTCAAAGATTGTGCCGGTGCGAGTTGTGATTTTTTGAAATTCACAACGAAGCCCGCGGCTGCGAGGTCGGCAATGATTATGGAGCGGTTGTGAAGAGCCTCCGCTCGAGTGGCACTGATGAATAGGATATCATCGACGTATGGAATAAGGCGGATGCCATGGCTACGCCAGCGTTTAGTGAGTTGCTTAATTAACTGGGTAAACACAAATGGCGCTGTAGCCAGCCCGAAAGGCAAAGAGAGGAATTGGTAGTCCTGCCCTTGCAGGGAGAATCCGAGAAACTGCCAGAAAGCGGGGTGAATGTCGACGTGGTGGTATCCAGATTTGAGATCGATCGTGAATAGCCAATCGCCTTCTTGCACCAAATCAGGAACGCGAGTAAGTCCTTCGTATCGAAAGCGAGGTACTGAGAGGAATGAGTTGACATGCCGCAAATCCAATATCAGCCTCTTTTTTGAGGGTTGGACAATCACGTTTAAGGGGCTAACGCATGTGAGGGTTGTGGAAGGAGGAACAACCCGAGCTGCGCCGGTGGCGAGAAGCTCGGCCACTGCACCTACGGCGAAAGAGGTGAATTGCAAAGCACCGGCGTGGTTCTTAGTACGAGACGGAGGGGGCTCAGAGGCAACCCATGGTAGGCGATATCCAGATGTAATCACCGATAGAATCAAGCGGCTGTCGCACCAAGCGGACCACCATGCAGCGCGGTCACGGAGGCGGCCTTGCATGCGGGTAATCTAGGTTGCGTCATCGGCATAGGCCGAAATGGTTCCGAGCTCTGGTGGGAGAGGGAACACAAATAGGGACGGTAGAGAATCAGGAAGGTACATCATGTAGTTCCGATCACAACGATTTTTTTTCTTTTTTTTTCGGGAAGGAAGGCAAACGCTAAATATAGGTGCCCGCTTGCTCGCTATTATTCGGCCACGTCATCCCTTAAGGGATAAACCATGGGTTGGGAATGTGAACTTGGCATGTTGGGCTGTAGTTGGTCGTCATATATGGTGATGACATAGAAATCTTGTCATGAATCTTATCAACGTCAGTCTTTAAAGGACGCACACACATTGTGTATGCGTCTTGTGGGCACGTTCAAGTCTTCTTGCACGGGCCCAACGGGCAAGACCATGTGGTCGTATGACGCGTGTATTAATCTTGCTTGAATGCACAAATGTGGTTTTTTTTTTTTTTTTTTTAATTTATTTATTAAGAACGCTACAACATCGGAGAGTTCAAGCAAACTTTACACAATCTTAGCCGGCCCATTGGCCCCTTGGCCCCTTTGGGGGCAATTAGCCATCCCATGCCCGGGTTCACGGCAATAGAAACAACGGCCGTCGCCGTCCCTACGCCATGTGTTCCAAAGGCGCTCCCCTTGGCCGCGAGGGCGAAGAGGGGGTTCAGGACGGGAGGTGGGATGGGTGGGCCGAGTGGGCCTCTTCTTGCTGGCCGCTACAATCTGAGAAGCGGCCTTCACATTCTTATCCTCTACCACTTCCCCATATTTAATCTTAAGGGCCATATTGGCCACTTCGAAACCGCGTTGATCGGCGGTAAACAAAAAATGAATCTTCTCTTCCGCCTCCTCTACTATCTGCTGGAGATAGTCGGCGGCTTGTTCACCACCATCAAGTGGTAAAACCGAGATAGCATGACGTGCAATAGCTTGAATGCGCTCAAAACTAAAAAGTTGCGTACGAATTCCATCGCTTTTAACTAAGGAAGAGCGCAACTGAGGACGTGCAGGTGGAATAGGAGCGAGGGTGAGCGATGCAGAAGCGGATTTCGGGCGGGCAGCATTACCTTCGTCGAGCGTGGCATGGGGTGCTTCCTCGTCCATTTCGTCGTCAACGGGCTCGGGGGCGGGCGCCGGGAGGCGAGAGCGTGGGGCTACCGTCGCTGCGACGCGTGCTGGTTCCGGTGGCGGTGCGGGATCGGCGTCATTGCCACGCTGGAGCGCCGCGAGAAGACCAAGAACGTGGTGAATGGCCTCGTTGTTGGTGCCGGCGTTAACATTGTTGTCGTTGTAGCGAGCAGAATTATGTTCTGCAGAATAAGGCGCTGTAGATGCAGTGGAGCGCGCTGTAACGCGTTCGCCAGCAGCTCTTGTGAAGATTCGCTGGAGATTGCGCTGGGCTGCAGGATCCAGGCGCGCAATCATTTCGGCGATCTCTGCTGCTCCAGGGGTCGAGATCTGCGGAATCCCGCGCGGATTCACTGCGGCAGGAGGAAAATCTGTGCGGCGATCTGCGCGATCCCGGTCCCGATCCTGGCGATCCTGGCGAATCTGGGGCGCTGGGGCGTTGAGATCGCGCTCATGATGACGCCCTGCGAGCGCAGGATCACGATCATGATTGTGGTCCTCGCGCGCAGGACCGTCATGATTGCGTTCGGTAGGTGGGGGCCGGGACGGGGCGTTTTCGGCAGTCGGGTTCGTGTCGACGCGGTTCTGCTCGTTACGCCGCTCGCCTTGAAATCCGGGGGGGAAATCGCGATTGCGTGACGTGTTACGATCCGCGTCCCCTGCCGCGTTTTCGACGTGCTGAACAGGGTCTTGACGCGCGCCACTCAGCAAATCCAAAGCGGTAACGGCGCCGTTACCTCCGCCAGGACGAGGAGAACGAGAACGTTCTCTATGCTGAGATGAAGAGTTTCGGTCCCCCTCACGTACAGGGGACCCACGCCTTCCACCACTCCTAGTATTCACACGAGGAGCAGGAGGCCTACCACTTGCAGCGGAAATGAGTCCGCTAACCATTGTAGAGTATCTAACAGAAATGACGTCTTGCAGCAAGAGACTTCTATGCCCAGATCTGGGCATAGAGGTTTAGAGTGTGCTGGTGGTATACAAGTTGGAACAGAAAAATGCAAATGAGACTAGGTGGCAGGTCTGAAAGACCTGCCGATAGATGAAGGAGTTTGTCTCCTTTACAGCAAACTCCTCTTCTAGTCGAATCACAATCTGTAAATTTTTTATTACAAAAAAATTTCTCATGTTTCAGCGCCCCCCCACATACATACGCTGATGCTTCAGCGTACACCCTAAAAGAAAGGCTGAAATTTCGGGCAACACACAAATAAAAAGGCTGATTTTTCAGGGCCCACTAAACAAAAAAGGCTGAGTGTTCAGCCTTAGTACCAACAAAATGTCTGAAAAAAGGCTGAATCAGCGTAAAAAGGCTGATATCTAGGGCCCTGATGGCAGGTAAGGCCTCCATGCCATGGTGAATGTGACGAGCAAGGAAGCTTACCCTTGGATGATACAGCAAGCATAGTAAAGCACACTGAATTGTTGCACCAGTATACCTCCCCCATCATGAAGAGCCCCTCTCTCATACATGTGCCAGAAGGATAAACACCCGCTTTATCCCTTCCCTTCCCTCCCACTGCCCTCCCTTCACCTCAACAGCCTAGACACGAGGAGCGAGCCGAGACACCCCAATCCAGTGCCCACTGTGGACGCCCCTTCTCAAGCAGTGTGCCCATTGCCCATTGCCCAATGCCCAACCCTGCAGCACACAGGCGGCCCTAGTGCCCATCAGAGCAGACCAAGTCCCTTCACATCACACAGCCTCACACACCCCCGCGTATATGGTCCGAGTCGATTCAGTCGACTCCAAAAACGCTGCAACTACTAGCATGTACCCATCCCATCCCAACCCATCCCAGCCATCCAATCCAAGCCCGCTCAGCCCGCCCCTAGTGCCCCCCGTGCCGAGGCGGAGCCGCTTTACACGGGAGCAACAACAGCGGGGTGACATCCACAGCACTGAACTTCGCTGAGTTGGTTATTGAGAATTCCCCAAAACCAGCTCTCAACTCCTGTGGAACTGCACCGTCCACAGCACACGCGCGCCGCACCGCACTGCAGCACACATCCCTCCGGGGCCAATCCCAGCCTGCAGTCCGCTCCTAGAGCCCCCCCGGACGAGATGGAGCCCCTTTACATGGCCACACTGACCCTGGCGGCACATCGACAGCATGGAATTGCGCCGTCCAGAGCACCCTCCTGTCGCACTGCAGCACATCCCCCTGAACCAACCAGCCTGCCCCCAGTGCTCCTAGTGCCCCCCAGGGCGAGATGGAGCCCCTTTACACGGCCGCACCGACCCCGGCGGCACATCCACAGCATGGAACTGCGCCGTCCAGAGCACTCTCCTGCCGCACTGCAGCAGCTGTAGGGAGAAGATCTTCTGCACGGCGCGCCACTGCTGCAGAAACTCTTCCTCCGAGCACGTGTGCGGCACCAGCACCTCGTCCAGGACTCGGCTCGGCCCGCAATAGGAGAAAGGACGCTGGGACTCTATGTCGTTGAGCGTTATGAGGGAGGAGGGGGGGCCTCCGGCCTCGTAGTTGGCGCCGTGCAGGCGCAGCAGGTGGTGGCGCTGGCGGGCGTAGGCCCCGTGGGAGAGGGAGATGGCGGCTACTGCATGCACGTCTTCTAGGAGCTCCTCCAGTCGCTCTTTTACCTGGGGGGAGGGAAGGGAGAGATAGGAGAGGAAGGTGGGAAAGTGGTGGCGCTGGCAGGAGTATGTGCCGTGGGTGAGTGAGATGGCTGCTACTGTATGCACGTCTTCTAGGAGCTCCTCCAAACGCTCCTTAACCTGGGGGGGAGAGGCGTGGGGGTTGGGGGAGGTGAGGGAGAGAAGTGAAAGCAGGTGATGGGAAGGAGGGAGGGATGAGATGAGAGTGAAGGATGAACCAGAGGGGAGATGTTCTCAGGAGAGACCAGGCAGGTGGATGGAACAAGGCCTTGCTAGTTAGGGGAGAGGCGAGGGGAAGGTGAGGGGAAGGCGAGGGAATGGTGAGGGGAAGGTGAGGGGAAGGTGAGGGGAAGGTGAGGGGAAGGTGAGGGGAAGGTGAGGGGAAGGCGAGGAGAAGGCGAGGGGAAGGCAAAGCTCAAAGCCTGACAGAGGCAAGAAGAAAGGATGCACGAGGGAGGGAGGGGCTTACCGTGGGCAGGAGAGGGTCGAAGAGCTCCTCTATCTTCGTCTGCAGCACCGCTGCCGACACAACACCACCAGGACCACCACCATCCATACCCCCTCCTCCACCTCCTCCACCTGCGATGGACCCCAGGGCCGCGTCATACCCCATGTTGAATCTATGGAATGCCATCCTGCCCTCCACGGTGCCGTGTGCGTCCTCCATGGCTAGAGCCACGAGCCCCGTCTTGAACTCGCGCGCCCCCATGTGCTGCTGCAGCGCCCTGTGGCTCGCGGATCTCTCTGCGGCGAGGACTGATTGGGAGAACTGGAGGGCGCGCGGGGCGAAGGACTCCACCTGCTGCTGCTGCTGCTGCTGCTGAGAGGATGAGGAGGAGGAGGAGGATGAGAGGAACTCGTAGAAGCGCGTGTGCGAAGGGATGAGCGCGTACCTGGAGTGGTGGATGGGGGATGGGGGGGAAAAGGGGGGGAGCGGAAGAGGCAGGATTGTAAGGGGTTGGGTTGGTTGGAGGGTGGGGGTAGAGGGGGTTGGGAAGAGAGCGCGAAGAGAGGTGAGGAATGGAAAACGAACGCCGGGATGACAAGAGCATGGAGAGGACGGAGGGGGGTGAGGGAGAGGCGGTGGAGGGAGTGTGGGAGAGGGAGAACGAGCAGGGGGGAGGGAGAAGGGGGAGGGGGAAGGGGGCAGAGCTCTGTGGGGTGCGAGAGTGTAAGGGTGAGAGGAGGTAAGAGGGAGTAGAGGGGAGGAGGGGGAAGGGGGAGGAGGAAAGAGCAGATGGCACAGCAGGACGTACGATTTGGGCCCCATGCAGAGCATGGACTCGGCGACGAGCTTGGCAGCCTCGCAGAGCTCAGCAGGGTGCGAGTGATCAGGCACGACCACGGGCCACATGTGCCACGGCAGGCGCCGCGCAACCGCGGGCGGCACCTCCAGCATGTGGCGCCGCTCCACCACCAAGAACGAGTACAGGAAAGGCTCTGGTGGCGATGGTGGTGATGGTGATGGTGGTGATGCTGCTGTGTTGCCGTCTCCGCTGCTGCCGGTACCAGCAGTGGCCGCACCACCGACGCCAGCGGCAGAAGCAGTGCCGGCAGCAACAGAAGCAGCAGAAGCCGATGCAGTGAAGGCAGGGTGTGGGCCGGTCCTTTGGAGTGGTGCAAGAGCTGTGCTAGGGGGCCCGGGGTGGGGTGTGCGGGTGAAGGGCGCTGGAGGGGTGGAGGAGGAGGCGGCTGAGAGGAGGTCGTAGGTTCGCAGCGCAGCAGGGGAGAAGGGGTTCTGCAGGGGGGGCCGAGAGGCGGGGCAAGAGGGGGGCGCAAGGGGGGGCGAGAGAGAGTGTGATTCGGTAACACAGGTGCGCAAGGGAGAGTGCAAGGAAGGAGCAACATGGAAAGAGCTGGGCGGGGAGGGGGGGAAGAGTGGGGGGAGAGGGGGGGAAGTGCAGGGGACAAGTATCAACCATCCCCATGCACTAAGCCGCGCCACTCCCAAAAAGCCAGCCCACGCCCCACAAACACCCATGACCCACTATCCCCCCTCCCTCACCTTGGAAATGAAGAACATGGGCGGGCAGATCTGCTCCACCACATTAGTGGCATGCTTGCACACATGCTCGTAATGATTCAAGAATATATCCGCCCACTGCCCCACTTTAATCGCCCGCGCTCGAGCTGGGCTCCTCGTGAACTCCAGCCAAGAATACGGCGACTTCACATCCCTCTCGCCCCCCGGCCCGCCAGTTAAGTCCGTCACCCACACGATCTCCGGTCCCGGCCGTGCCTGCAGGGGCACTTGGCGCATTTTCCGGTGGAGTAGCGGGGGGCCCGAGTCCGGGAGAAGGCTGGGCGGTAGACCTTGGGAGGCGCGGGCAGCAGCGGCGGCTGCGGCTGCTGCGGCGGCGGCAGCAGCGGTGGCTTGGACGGAGCAAGCAGGAGTGTCGACGCATGCACGTGCCGTGGATGCCTCTCCTGACCCCCCTCCTCCCTGTCCTGCTGACCCTCGTGCCGTCTCACCGTTGCTACCTGCATCACATACCCCCCCCAGAGGACCTACCATGGCTGCATATCCCCCTTCGGATTGACCCGACATTCCTGCCATCCAAAAACTGCTGCTGCTGCTGGTGGTGCTGATGGTGTGAGTTGCACCATTAGCGCTAAGCCCCCCTGCAGTGGCGGGAGTGGTGTAGTTGACTGTGATTGTATCGGACGTGCGGTGGCGGCCAGGCAGGACTGGGGGAGGTGGTAGCTTGCGCACGGATGGCATGGCTCTGGATGGCGGGGGGAGCAGAAGAGGAGTTGGCAGGGAGGGGAGACATGTGAGGTGGGGGGACGTGAGGGGAGGGGAGAAGTGTGAAGGGGGGGGGGGGGGAGGGGGGGTTGGGGTAGGAGGGAGATGGATGGCAGGTGGCCAATAAAATTGGGCGGAATAGAGGGACTGAGGAGGGAAAGGACGAGCAGAGAGGACGATGGAACAGAGAGACTAAAGAGGGTGGGGTTGGGGTGGGGTTGGGGTGGGAGCGGGGAGGGGGAAGAGGGGAGAGGGGAGAGGGGAGAGGGGAGAGAGGAGGGGAAGGGAAGGAGAAGGGGGGAGGGTTTGGAGAAGGAGGAGCAGCAGAGGCAGGAGAGCAAGTGGGGAGAGACGGGCAAGTCATTAAAGTGAGGCATGGGATAGTGGGTGCGTGCACCTGCAGGGGATGGTGAGAGAGGGATGCAGAATGTCTTTGGCGAGTAGCAGCAGCCCTAGAGCCACCTCCCGCACCACTGCTGCCGCTCTTGCCACATCTAAGGCCCCCTTCCTCGCCCTCGCCTCCTCCCCTCCTCCCATGCGCCCCACACCCGTGCCTGAAGCAGCAGCAGATGCAGACGCAGCAGCACTGCCACCACCAGTATTTCCGCAACCAACACCGCAACTACCACCGCCACTGCCGCCTATACTGGCAGCGGCAGCTGCAGTAAGCACGGGGGCTTTATCGTAGGAGAGGTCCGGAAGGAAAGAGAACTTCCCAGCACTGCCTGCTGCCAGCCCTGCCAGCGCTGCTGCTGCTGCTCTCGCCTCTGCAGCAGCAGCGGGGTGGGAAACAAGTGCCCCTTCAGCAGCGTCACTTCTGGCTTGCAACCAAGGAAACGTGGCACCAGCAGCACCAGCAGCTGAAGGAGGTGCTGCAGCTGCAGGCACAGCAGCGCCAGAAGAAGCAGCAGCAGCAGGAGTAACAGCAACAGCAGCAGCAGCAGGGCGGGAGAAGGAAGGTAGGGGAGGTGAGAGGCAGGAGGAGGCGAGGGGGCGGAGGACGTGCAGCGCGAGGGAGAGCGCCTGGGGGGCCATGGTGGAGTGGGCCCATTGGCGCAACCGCATGGCGATGCTGGTGGGCGCGTCAAAGAGCCGCACCGTGCACTCCAGGGCGAAGTCCGCTGCTGCTGCCGCGTCTGCGGGGAGGGAGGGAGGGAGAGAGGGAGGGAGGGAGGGGAAGGAGGACAATTTGGCTTGGAAAGGAACAAAAGGAGTGGAGTTCAACATGCCTCGCTGCCACATCGATGGCCCCAACACCTGTCCCTCCTCTCTTCACCCCCCACTCTCCCTTAATGAACCACTTCCCATCCCTTCCCTTTCCTCCACCATCCCCCCCCACCTCTCTCCCCCTCCCCCTCCCCCTCCCGCCCTCCCGCCCTCCCGCCCTCCCGCCCTCCCGCCCTCCCGCCCTCCCGCCCTCCCGCCCTCCCGCCCTCCCGCCCTCCCGCCCTCCCGCCCTCCCGCCCTCCCGCCCTCCCCCCCTCACCTATGGAGCACGCCATGTGGTGCCGCCATGCCTGCTCCATCTCCTGCCGCACCATGCAGTGCAGCACCGCCTCCGCCCCCACCACCACTCCGCCCCCCGCTCTTCTTCCTCCCACCTCTTCCCCTCCCCCTCCTCCTCCTTCTCCTCCTCCTCCTCCTCCTCCTTCTCTTCCTGCTGCTGCTCCTCCTGCTCCTCCCACACCCCCTGTGCCAGTCTCCCCCTTACCCAGACCACCAGCGCCGCCCCTTCCCTGCATATTCTCCAGAGCCTCGACCGAGCCCCATCCCCACCCCAACACCCCATCCTCCACCCTCGCCTTCCCCTTATCCTTCCCTCTATCCTTCCCTCCTGCGCCACCCCCAGCTGCCGCCACCCACCCCGTCCGCCCTCCTCCCTCCCCACCCCCACCCCCATCCCCATCCCCATGCACCCCCCAGGTATCACCATCACCGTCCTCCCCTATCCGGAGCAGGCGCGGCGAGGAGAGATGGTGCGGGGCGAGCAGCGAGAGCGCGACTTCGAGGCCGAGGGAGCGGTGCGTGGACCAGAGCTTGTCGAGGGCCGTCTCAGACGCCACCACGAAGCTGCTGCCTAGGCTCAGGACCTCCTCCTCCTGCTCCTCGTGTGCGGGTGGTGGGGGCGATGGCAGTGCTGCTGGGGAGCTGGGAGGGGGAGGAAGGGGGCAAGGGAGGCGGGAAGGGAGGGGAAGTAGGGGGGAGGGGAGACAGGGAGGGGAGCAGATGGGGTAAGACGGAAATGAGCTGGTATTGGTACGCGGAGTCAGCCAAACAGGCGAACAGCAGAAACCCACGTGTGTGACGATGTGAGCATGGCGATGGCAGCCTCCTGTTCGTCCAGCATGAGCGCGCACGCCACGTCCCCGAGCCCCTCAAACGCCTGCCGCAGCGCGCCCACCACAAACGCCACCATGCGGCGCCACCACCGCTCGCAGCCGTCACTCGCCCACGCACACGTCTCAAGGAAATCCTGCACTTCAGACCTTAGAGCGTCTAGCTGCTGAACGATCTCCTCACGGAAGGCAGAGAGGAAGGATTGCTCGCATTTGAAGCGCACGTGCTCCCAGTGGGCTTCCGCTGCGAAGGTGCGGCTCATGCTGTCCATAGGGCTGGCCCCGCTGCCGCTGCCGCCGCTACTGCTGCCGCTGCTGTTTCCAAAGGCTGCGAAACCGCTACTGGTGCTGGTGCTGTTGCCGGGAGGGACGAACGCGTTGCTAGTGATGGTGGGGCCTGTGCTGGTGCTGGTGCTGCTGCCGGGCATAGTCGCAGGCGGGAGCATGGGCAGGCTGCTGATAAACGGGGTGGTTGAGGAGAGGAGCAGGTGGGAAGACGAAGAAGAGGCGATCAGTTCAGTCTTACCCGTGGGTGGAGCAGATGCGGATGCAGGAGAAGGGGATGGCACGGTGTGAAGCGGTGCGGTGTGGTGTGGCGGTGCGTGGGAAAGAGTGTGTGCCGCAGCAGAGAGCAGCAGGTTCCAAGGGAGGTCGGGAGTGGCTTCGAGAGGCGAGGACGCGGAGGGTAGGGCGGGAGCAGCAGAACGAGGGGAGGGAGAAGGGAGAGGGGGGAGGGGAGGGGGGAGCATGGTAGCGGTGGTTGAATCGGTTAAGCTGGTGCCGTTGCTGCAGTGCTTGTTGCTGATCGCAGTGCTCTCCTTCCCGCTGCTGCTGTTCCTGATGCTGCTGCCACTGCTATTCCCATTTCTACCGCTGTTGCCGTTGTTGTTGTTGCTGCTCGTGTTAGCGTTGCTGTCTGGCAGCGGCAGCAGCCCGTGCCGTGTGAACAGCCCGTTGAGCGTGAATGCAAGGGTGGTGGCGGCCCATAGCAGCACCTGGTTGTCGTGCCGCAACACATGCGCCTGCAGCAGCGGGTGCTCCTGTGGCGGGCAAAAGAAAGGGGGAGGGGGAAAGAGAGAGGGAAAGAGGGAGAGAGAGAGAGAGGCGAGAAGCATGTGTTCGAGTGTCCATGCGGAGGAGTGTACCTGGAAACCTGAACCACCACCAGACAAGTCGGCAAGGAACATGAGCCGCAGAGGGAATTCAGAAAGTTTGGTTCGGTGCGAATGGGCATGCCTGCCTGTGCGAGTGCGGCATGTGCGTGCAAGCGCGTGTGCGTGTGTCCGTCCGTCCGTCCGTCCGTGTGTCTGTCTGACCTGGAAGGAGAGCACGCCCGGCGGCAGCACTTCCAGGGTGTGGGCGAGGTGGTTGCTCAGCAGCACGCGCTGGTGCACGTCCACAAACGGCGCCAGCGCAGCACAGCGCGCCACCGCCGCAAACCGCGACCGCAAGTACGCCCGCCGCTCATCCGCGTGCGGGCCGTCACTCGCTCCCCCGCTCCCACAACCACTCCCGCTGCCGCCGCCGCTGCCACTGCTGCCAACACAACCCGCGCCGCCAGCGCCGCCAGCACCGAAAGCACCAGTGAAAGCTAGGTCGAGGGGCGAGTCCGTTCCAATGGCTGCAGATCCTGCTGGTCCTTCAACCGTTGCCCAGTTGCTGTTCTCTCCAGGACACCCACACCCGCAGCCACAGCCAGTGCCGCAAACCCCCCCCCTACTGCTGCCATCCACACCTCCTCCTCCCCCTCCCCCTCCGCCCGCTGCCCCTTCCCCCACGCCTCCCCCCGTGCCGATGGCGCAGTAGTCGAGGGGGATGAGGAAGAGCGGGGGGCGTGGGCGGAAGAAGAGCGCGGGCCAGAGAAGGCGGCGGATGAGGTCGTCTGAGAGCGGCCGGCGCGCACAGCATGGTACAATGACGTCCGCGGCGTGCAGCAGGTGCTGCAGGGGGGGCGAGGCGGACACGCTGGGGACGCCCGGGGTCTGTGAGGGGGTGGGCAGAGGGGAAGGAGAAGAGGGGAGGGAGAGGGGGAGAGAAGAGGCGGTGAAGGAAAGGATGGGACGATGGGAGGCAGGGAGGGAGGCAGGGGGGGGACAGGGTGACAGGGTGACAGGGAGATAAGGGGAGAATGTTTAAAGTGACAACGCGACAACAGCAACAAAATCAGCGGCAGCACGCACATCAAAGAGGGTGTATCCAGCAGGCAGTCCTATCGCCGGCGACTCCAGCAGCAGCGCCTCCACAGCCAGCCGCTGCCCCTCGGTGAGCCTCCCCGCAACGCTCCCCGCAAGCATCTGCATGCGCCCAAACACCCCCCCCTCCGCGCCGTCCACCTCCCCCTTCCCCACCACGCCGCCCACCACCGCCTCAGGCAGCTTCACCACTTCCGGCGCCACCAACCGCACTCTACCGTCCACCACCGCGCAGCCGAAACACTCTCGGAGGTACACGCAAAGATCCTTCGCCGGTCGAGAGGAGAGGTCGTTAGCAGCGATGGCAGTGACGGCTGCGGCAGCAGCAGGGTCAGCGAGAATGAGGGACTCCACTAGGGACTCGTAGACGGCGGGGGAGCGCGCGAGGAGCGATGCACGCAGGTGGCTGGGGTCGGGGTGCTCGAGTCGCCGCACAGCGACGGCAATGGATGGGGCGGAGGAGGGGGACGCGGAGGGGAGGTGGGGGAAAGGAGGAGAGGCTGCAGCAGTGGCAGATGCTCCTCTGGCGGCGGCGGCAGCAGCAGCAGCAGGCGTGGCGGCAGTGGGAGCGGGAGCACCTGTTGAGGAAGGAGGTTGGTGCTGCATGTTGAGTAGCACCTGTTGCTGCTTGTCCTGCTGCGCCTGCACCCACTCCTGCCACCTGCTGCTCTGCTCGCCCCCACCCACAGCAAACGGCGCCTTGCCCTTACCCTTCCCCTTCCCCTTGCTCTCCTTGTGCGTCTTGCTCTCTTTGTGTGACTTGCCGTCCTTGCTGCTTCCCCCCTCCTCGCCCTCCCTCCTCCCCGTGTGCTTCCCCTCCGCCTTCCGTTTTTCCCCGGAACTGCCATTCCCGCACAGTGCAGCAGCAACACCAGAGCCTTCCTTCTCCTCCTGCTGCTGCTGCTGCTGCTGCTTGCGCCGCCGCCTCTGCTGCTGTTTCTCCCCGTCTCCCCCTGCCCCCTGCCCGTCCTCCCCCTCCTCCTCCCCTGCATTCTCCTCTCTCCACCTCTTCTTTCCCCCACACTCGCTTCCTTTCCTCTCCCTCCCTTCCTTTCCCCCTTTCCCATGCCTTCCCTTCTTCCCGCTTCCCGCCGCCTTCCCCCTCTCCTCCTCAATTCCGGTGGCAGCAGCACCACCAACAGCACCACCTTTACCACAATCACCACTACCAGCAGCAGCAGCAGCAGCAGCAGCCGCCGCAGGGGATTCAGCAGCAGGAGTCAGCCCTTGCTGCTGCTGCAGCTGATGCTGCTGCGCCGCTGCTGCTGCGGGTGCTGCAGGTGTCCATGCTGCAGGGGTAGTAGCAGTGGTGGCAGGCCTGCCGGACGCTAGAGGGAACGGCCCTCGAGTGCCGTCACTACCGGGGCAAACGAGTCTGTTAGAAAGGGGGATAAGGGGGATGGAGGGACGGAGGGACAAAGGGACGATGTGAGATGAAGCACTAGGGGAGAAAGCGTACTCCGTTTGCTAGGCAGGATCGAATGGCCCTGCACCAATAGGATCAAAGGAGTCATGTCTTAAACAGAACCAATCAAAGTACTAAGCGCACGCGCACACACGCAAGCCTATGACATGTGCCCGCGTGTACACCCACACATCTCCCCCACACAACCATACTCCCCACAATGTCGCCATCACCACATCCCTCACCCCATCCACCTCTTCCCCCTGGGGGCCCCCCTCCACCAACCCCCCAACTCACCGGTTCCCCAGGTGGCTCTTCCCCGCGCCAGGCGCGCCCACGAGCACCACGCGCACGTCCCGCTCCCCCTTGGCGCGCACGGCGCGCTTCAGCTCCGCCAGGTACCCCGCCACCTCCTTCTGCAGCAAGCAAGACTCGAGTTTCTCTGTAGCGAGGATGAGCTTGCGGATAAACTCGTCCAGCCCCGGGTGGTCGGGCGCGCGCTGGGTTCCGCCGCCCCACGGCGGAAGCTCCCCGCGCTCCTGGTGAAGGAAGGAGGGAGGGGGAGAGAGGGGGGGGAGAGAGGGGGAGGGAGGAGGGAGAGTAGAGGAGAGGGTGAGGAGAACGGGGGCAGAGAAAAAACACGCATATGTGTATGCCGGGCGCGCGCGTGCATCCTGCGGTCCCCCGCCTTGCATCGTCCCTCCATCCCAGCTCCTCATTCCCCTCATTCTCCCCGCTCTCTCCGCGCTCCTCCCCACCGTGACCCACCCCCCAAGTCCCCGCCCACACAAACCCCCTCCCCCTCTCCCCATCCCCACCCGCGCCCAGACTTAACGCTCAACCAGACACTCCCCCCCCTCCCCCTCCCTCCCCTGCGCTTTCCCCTCCCCTCCCCCCCCCCGGCGCGGGCGCACCAGCTTGGGCACGACGGCGTCGTGGATGAAGCGCTTCATGAGCTGCGCGCGCGCGCGGTCCTTGGTGGTGCGGTCCAGGAAGCCCAGCGCCTCGCGCAGGGAGATCACTGACATGAGGTTCTTGCCCTCCTTGATCTTGTCGCGACTCCCCTTGAACGACGACCGGCTGCGCGGGGGGGGGGAGAGGGGGGGAGGAGAGGGGGGAGGAGGGGGGGCGGAGGAAGGTCGGGGGAGGGGAGGGAGGAAAAGGGGGGGGGGAAGAGAGGAAAGGGGACAGGTGGAGGACGACGTAAGGGAGGGCGGGCGGGGGACGAGAAAGCGACGAGAAGCTCGCGCGTTGACATTTGCAAGATGGTCCAGTCAAGGAGGGGGGAAGACCCCGCATGCTTTTCTTCTCCGCGGAGCCCGCCGCAGCCCTCGGTCAACCCCCCATCACTCCTCTCCGCGAGACCCGACTTCCCATCTCCCGCTCCCCCAGGCCCCCACACCACACCCCCGCACCCCAGAGACCAGCGCAACCCTTGCGCTACGTCCTCCTTATTTCCCTCCCCCCCCCCTCCCCCCCCCCCCGGGCTACTCCTTCCGCGCACCTATTGCCGAGTTCGAGCGCCTTCCCGATGCCGTTGTCCCCGCCCAGCTGGAAGCGCAGGCACTCGCGGATGCACCTTCCGCCTGCGCGCAACACACGGGGGGCGGGAAAGGATAACGGGGAAAATGTGCGGGGCGGGAGAGCGGGCGCGGGGAAAGAGAGGAGGAAACGGGGGAAGACTGGAGGTTGAGTAACGGAAGACCGGAGGCTGAGTAACGGAAGGCGCGGAAAGTGTGGAAGGCAGTCGGCAGAACCGATTAACTGAGTTGCGGCGTCGGGTAGAAGGACGGATGGGGGGAAAACGGATAGACGTATGGACGGGTAGGCGGCCGAATGGACGAGTAGGCGGCCGAATGGACGAATAAGCGGCCGAATGAACGGGTAGGCGACCGAATGGACGGGTAGGCGGCCGAATGGACGGGTAGGCGGCCGAATGGACGGGTGAGCGGACGGATGGACGGGTGAGACGGATCGATGGAGTAGATTAAACACGCATCGACCCTTACCCAAGTCTTTAGGGACGTAGACGCGCAGCGCGGTGCCTTGGAATTCCGCCTTGTACGCGTGGAAATTCGCGGACGGCTGCGCCACAGCATGCGCGCCTCCGCGCTCCGCCCCGCCTGCGGGAAGCCCTTCCGCCCTCCCGCCCGCACTAGCTGCGCCAGCGCCACCCGCGCAAGCTCCCCCTCCTTTTATCGACCCAGGGTTGGCGCTGGGGGAGGCGGTGGGATACGCGGAGGCAGCGGGAAGCATGCTTTCCGCCAACGGTCCTCTGATAGGCGCAGAAACGCCAGTCGATGGTGACGGGAACGCTGGGGCTGCCCCTTTCCGCTGCGACGGGGAAAGCGGGGGGAAGCGCGCAAGGGCTTCTTCCTTGGGCACGGCGGGCGGATAGCCCCGCCGGTGAGGCGCGGGAGGCGGCCTGCGCGGGTGCAAAGGGGAAAGGGAGAGGCGGATTAGGGACTAGGGAGGAATGAATGAAGACGAAGCGAGCGAGCGATGAGAGGGTGACACGAGGGGAGCGACGGGAAGTCCGATCGTATAACACGTCGACGCGGAATGGACGCAAGTCGCGCAACTTGGCGCGCTTTTCTGGGAAACTAGCGTGCAGCCCTTGGAACTTAACGCGGAGAAAGAGGCTGAGAAGCGAAAGAACGGGAGGAGAGGACGAATGGTCAGATTGGGCGGAACGGTAGGGTAACGAGGCAGGAAGAAGAGGTCAACGAGAACGGAAACTTCGTGGGGGGGATGCAATCTCGTGCGGGTAACGCGCACGCGAGGTGAGCAAATGGAGCCGCAGGAAAGCCTAAGGCTCTCATCGGAACACCTTACGGCTTGCTTGAGGAAGCCCAAGACTCTCACGAACGGATCACTAGAGAGCAACGAGGTGTGGGTATAAGCGGGGATGACAACCTCTAAAGACGGGATGCGAAGAGAGGCACCAAGGAAGTAAACCAAGGCAGGGTCCATACATTATGTCCTTGTTGCCGCTAGGACCGTACCCCTCCTGTCTCGCCCGCTTCCCATTAGCACCGCTACTAGGCGCAGCATGCATGGCTGGCTATTGCATGCCCTAAAGTCGGCCACCTGTTGCTACCTTGCTTCTAGATCTAGCAGCTGCAACACGGCCCTCCTAAACTGAGTCTCGCGCAACCGCTGCGGCCACTGTATACGGTTTCCCTTTTCTGTTGTAACGTTTAGAGTGCGGTACTGCAGCGACACGGTAACCGTGGTAGCATCGCACCCGATGGCCTGCTCTCTCAACCACTACAGCAAAAACGCCTGGTCAGTCACGGCTTGAATCTACTTTAGGGTAGGACGGGATAGTGGACACAATCATAGGGTTGGAGATGACGAGTAGAGGGATCGACTCCTGACTTGAGTGGTGGTGGTGAGGTGACCCCTGGCTGGGAACGGCGGACATTGGTTGGATGGAACTGACCACGGGGTAGTTTCGGCACGGGACGGAGATATGCTGGACGGGAGAACACAAGCACGAGGACGGGCTGGGGGAAAAAGAAAGTCACGCCAGAGGAGCAACACAGCGTGATGGGGGAAAGGGGGTGGCGGGAGGCGGACGGGGTTTGGGTTGGGGCGGGGGGGGGGGTGGTTTTGAACAAGTCTAGCGAGGGACGGACTGCAGATGGCGGAAGCGGAACCCAACTCTCCACTCCACCATGCTTCGGGCAATTCCTGGTGTACAGTAGATACCACACCACACTCCATGCACCATTCACTTCACATCACATCATCACCATCCACTTCCCTCTCGTTTTCCGCCAACGCGGACCACATGGAAGCTGTTGAGGGGAGACGCGTGCTAGCTAGAATCGGAAATGGCAAGGGAAATTCCCATCTGTGTCAGGCCGAAAACCACCGCCCTTTCCCATGTCTCGTCACTCCCTCTACTCTTGATCCACATGGTCCTTCCCTACCAAAACATTTCTTGTTGAAACGCGTTGGATTGGAACGGGACGGATCTCTCCATGACCCTCTAAGGGCGTGTCCAGCGCGTACGTTTGATTGCGGTTGGGTGAGGTGCCTCACGGATCAGAAGGATCAATAACGAATCTAGAACGGCCGGGTGTGGTCTTGACCAAAAACGTACGCGCTCGACACCCCCCTAAGGGTGATTCCGCAGCAAGTGTTAGACCGGAGGTTTAGCGGAAAGATCCGAGGCTGGAAAAAATTGCCTCGGGTCTTGCGAGAAATTGACGGCTCCAGCCAGTCAGCTGTCAGACCGAACAATTAACAATGTCGCGCAAATGAACTTCCACCAATCATAAACTCGCAAATTTCCGGTGGACTCGCAAAGTTCGGCCAGTAGAGTCGCAACCCTTCCTATGCGACCATTCGCGACTTTGCAGCCGCTGCATCGTCAAGAATATAAAACCCGCAGTTAGGTTGCGACAACCCCCACTCCTTCGGCGCGGGTCGACCTCGGGTTTGACGCTCGCTCCGGAATAAGCCATAACGGGAGAATTTACGGTTCTGGTTCAATGCGGTGAAGGGCTGGGTCATGTTGAATCGGATTGGGGCGGGAGGGGCTGAAATCGCCACAAATACACTACAACTGCTTCAGACAGAAACGAGGGAAAATTGCTGCCGCGGACTGTCCACGAAACTTTTCATACTTTCGTGGACAGGCCCTACTTTCATGGACACCACATCGAACTTTCACATCTCCCGTGGACTCCGTCAATACTTTCGTGGACTCCAGGCTTACTTCCATGGACACACGCGAGTTTGAAACAAAAAAAAGCATACAGAACTGTACAGATGCTGACAGGAGAAAAAAAGCAAAATTAGGCGTAATCAAGTCCCTCGCAAATAGTCGCAAGCTACAGTATTTTCAAGCCACCAAGTCCGCTAGCTGTTTCGCGTGTTTAAAGAAACTCTGAAGCGATCCTCAAAATTCATTTGAATGACTGTCACGAAGCGCTTTTAGTTGAACGATAAGTGTAGCAGACCGACCTGGTGAAATATCGCTACAAAAAAATCACGTTGTAGAATAAAGATAGATATTACGCTTACAAGATTAATAGAGCTCATTAAAAATCTCTGCCTACCAAGAATCAGGAATACCATGAATTCTGGCATTTACAAATATTTTAACTAGTACTTGGCTTGCATTTTCAAATAAGATGTGAAATCTCAGAATACCAATAACGTTTGGTGAACATGACTATATAAATGGAAGGTTTCACGTCTTGATTGTATTATTATTAAAATTTCGGTACATAGTAAAATAATAATAGATGAGAAAATGATACAACTATTTTAGATTCAAGTTTTTGAGAATATTGTTTTTTATGTTTGAACGAGAAACATACTAATGCAAATAAAAACAAGTGATTCTAAAAATTATATTTCTTAGGTGTTTTTTTTCTCACAGAATTACTAATAATGAAATTATTTATTATGAAGGAGAAAACAACTGCTGGTTGATGCTGGCTCGTCAAGCACGTGCATATTATGTTTTGTTGGGTAGCTCTGAGTTGAATAATAAGTGTTTTTACCACGCGGACCCTAATACACCCTGTTTTTGAAAATTCACTGCATATTTGAGTGCGGCTGCAAACTCTTCCCAGAAAAGCTCCGAGATTCTGTTTCAGAACTGGTTTCCGACACTGTAGCTCGCGATTACTTGCGACGGACAGATATTCTGGAGTATCTCGATTTTTGTGCCCGTAATCACTTGTACATTGCTGAATACTCCTTTTTAACTGCGAATATGGGTGTGTCCATGGAAGTAAGCCGGGAGTCCACGAAAGTATTGACGGAGTCCACAGGAGAAGCAAAACTTCGATGTGGTGTCCATGAAAGTAGGGCTTGTCCACGAAAGTATGAAAATTTTCGTGGACAGTCCGCGGCAGAAATTTTCCCCAGAAACGAACACTTGCCGCGTCCTCCAGAATTTTCTACGTGCCCGTTCTGTGGATCTTCTTGGGCTTGCCTTCCCCCAACCTGCTGTTTGGCTCTCGTGTCGTGTCCTCGAACCAACCGCGCTCGTGCCTGAGCCTCGGGGTGCAGTGTGAAGCCAGCTGGGCGGGGAAGACGTATGACCGTGACAGCTACACAACCATCTCTTCGGATGGTCGATGTGCTGCTGCCCGGTTGTGTGAATTGTGATTGGGCCTGAGCCCAATAAGCTTTCACCAAATGCTTCCTCCTACAGTTGTTCCCCCCCGCACCAGATACAGCTACAGTAGCGCGTCTTGCCCGAGCGACAAACCCCCCGGGCCTCGCACAGGTGCGCGGAAGTGCTGGTTCAGTGCTGCAGTGTACAGTGCCAGTGCTCCCAGAATTCCATTTCAGACGAACCCCACTTTGTCTGGGTGGACAAACAAAACGCTCTCAAACCGCATGCTGAAAATGTAACACACACGAAAGGATGGGGAGCAACGGAGGATACGGCTCAGGAGGCTGGCTAGTACACCTGAATTCCAGTTCAATGCTCATTCATTACATATTACGTGTCTATTTGCAGTCCTATTAATTCGAAATCACAGAAAACGGCCAAAGCGACAAAATCCCAACGATCTGCAACAGTCTAGACATCTGATACGGAGACCTCCAAACGTGCAGACGGGACGTTCTCGTACCCTACACTATTGTCCGAGGTACGCAAAACAAACAACAATGGTCACCCGATTTAGACTGGAAAATGCCAACAAGGTAACCAGACTTCCCAAAATTGGCACACTTCACCCGTGAAAGTTAATGGGTCGAATTTGAAACATTCGCTAAGAAAACAAACTGTATGAAGAGAAAATAGTGTGTATGAGCGGTAGGACTTTCGAGCTTTCTTAGTTTGTACACTCAAAGTTCTGAGAGTCTCGTCACATCGGCTCTCCATGTTGCCCAAAGTAGATGTCCTCCGCAAATGGCAAGTTCCATCCATGGCAAATCCACGCACTTGGCTTTGTCTGGAAGCTCAGGCCGCGCTGTTTCAGTTTGTACTGTGTTGATTGCGTATCCACCTTCACGGTGGTAGAGCTCCATGCAACCAGGAAAGGTGCGAAGCCAATTCCGGGCAGCTTGTGTGTACACACAACTGGTCCGTAAATGTAGAGTTTCAGTGTAATCTACAATATGAAATGTATACAGTGGTTGCAATCTTCGTCTGTAAAATTCCCAGATCGGATACTGAATCGGAAGTTTGAAACAACAATATCTTCGCAGTGATCACTTCAAATCGGGTCACATCACAATGCATCTCCAGTTCAGGCCTGTCATAGGGGTTCCCCGAGATGACGGAATCGCCCAATAATTACCCGTTAACGGAATCGACTGGAAAGTACCCGTCAGCATTCGGATTCGTTGAAGAGCTACCCTTCGTGTAAACTACCATCCTCACAGACACAGCGGCTTCGCCACGGCTGAGAAAAGAGCCGAGGAAAACATTCAGGGTGTGGGGTGTTTCTGGATCATGCTATGCCTTGGAGGTCGGAAGAGTAGGAAAGACAGTGCAGTATTGGCGTGGAACAGAGGGGAACAAGTGGGGGAAAGAAATACAGTGAGGAGGGAATCAAAAGTACGCAACCTTAAGATTTCAGGAATCACATGGAACCTAATCCGTCAGGACGGCTGAAGTTCAACTCTACATAAAAACGGAATCCAGCGAAAAACAACTTTTAATTTCTCGACATTATGAGTAATTACCTTTTAAGCGGGAGGCAGAGTCCACTTCACTATGAACTCGTTTCAAGGAATCGTTTCTCACAGAGTGTCAAAGGTGTAGGTCAGCAAAAGACAGTGGATGTCAGCAAATGAAATGAGTGTCCTTACATGAAATAATAGTGGTACGCTTCGGGCATACAGGGCTATGGCGTTGACAATGATTTTTTATCCTTGATTTTCCTGAAATTTTCATGGTCGATGGTGTTGGCGTATGTTGTGATCATGTGTCGCTCAGCAGGTCGCACGCATGCCTTCTCACGGTTCATAATTAAGTTTCATGTTTTTACAAAATTCCTCACGATCTATCGGGAACAAAGTGTTAATAAATATATTTATATATCTTAGCTAGGTCTTTTTTTTATAGCCTAACTAGTTTAGTTCTTAGTGAGTACAGCCTTAGTTTTCTAACCCTCTACATTTTCCCTTAATCGCACTTTTCCCGCTCCTCTAATATGGTATTGAGCTAGGTTAGATTTTTCTTTCCGCTGTTTCTCACGCTTCCGCCGTTAATCACGCTACCATCGTTACTATAGTTTATTATTTTTTCACGCATGTGCACCTCTCACAATTTCGCACACATTAGCCTTTCGATTTTGCGCACTATAGCATTCCAATTACGCGCACTGTAGTCTACACGCACTCCCCCCTTAGCGTTCGCACTATTTCGTACGGTAGCCAGAAGGCCGACGAGCACGCTAGCAGCACGCTAGCCAGCAAGCTAGCCGACGCGCCAGCCAAC